TATACCTGATAAACATGCTTTGTGTAATGTACCGTAATTCATAAATTAAGTTTAAGTTATAGATGCCCATCTCGGTGAGGAAAAAAAATTACTGTACTTTAATATATAAAGTACCAGTAAGCTATTAAAATATTAATTTTTTGGAAGTTTATTAGTTCAACCATAGTTGTCTCGAGTTCAATATAGTACATTTGTGTTATGATTATGAAATTAATTCAATGCGTACTATTGCAAGTGCGCCCTCATGCGTTTGTGTGAAAATTGTGTGTTTTTTATTTTATTTATTTATTTTTTTTTTGTAACGACGAATGATTCTTGCAGGATTCGTAAAGGAATAATTTTGGATATTGCGCAAGTTTCTTGTCTCCTTTTCTTCGTTCATGGTATTAAAAAGTTTATTAAGTCTATCCATACCTGATTACGGGATTAGTCTTGCTTTCAGATCAAACACTTAGTAATGAATACGTCAGCACTCTAAGCTACGTTCAAATCGTCATTTCGAGAAAACTTTGAATTTTCCATTAGTGTGGCGGCTTACGATAACGCTAGGCAATTACTGGTTCATATCATATATAGTTATTGTGTGGTTAATTTACTGCAATGCATCTGACAACAAATCAGAGACCGCGGCTTGTGTTGTTGACGTTTAAGATTGACAAAATTCCAATATCCATTGCTAATGACACGTTTAAAATGCAATGAACTTCCGTTAATTAGAGAAAGCCATTCTTTGTACCTTTCGATCAGTTGACATTTTAGTCCACAGTCAGGCTATTTAATTCCACTTTGGAACGTGTCTTTGTATCCTGTAAATGGCTTAGATACCAGTTCGCTTATGAATACAATAATATCAAAATAATCGCCCGAATAATTAAGGTAAAAGTGTAATTTAGTTGATTATGTATGCCATTCATTTATGATCATAGGCCTACCCATTATGTATGCCATTCATTTATGATCGTAGGCCTACCCAATGTTTGTACTGGTAGGCCGGCATTCTGTTTAGATGAACAGTTTCTTTTATAAAGAGTTTGTAATATACCCTTTATTTTGCCACAGGAAATGAAAAGAAAATAATTTTAAAACGTTAAAAATACCATTCAGAATCCAATACACTGCTGAAAAAGAAATCGTTGCACGTTGTGTGTTTAAAAAAGTCGGGACCCTCTCTGTCTACGCCCTATGCCACTGGGGCATCGTTGGGATGGGAATATATATATAGACCTATAATAAAACTCTAGAAAAAATGGGTAAATTAAGGTGTATGATCATACAAATGTTATTATCTGCCTCAGAATAACTTGAATATTTACTGTACGAGTACTTTTCTGATGATAAATATATATACATATATATAATTTTAAAAATATATAGGCCTAGGCCTATATAGACCTATATATATATATATAACAAATCAAACAAACAAACAACAAACAACAAAAAAAGTTTATGTATCTCCCTGAGAATAAAATATTTATTGTACGAGTGCTTTCGACCATAGGTCATAATCATCAGGTACTATCTGCACCCGATGACGACCTATGGTCGAAAGTACGGTACTGGTACAATAAATATTTTATTCTGAGGCAGATAAATATAAATATAAATAAATATAAATATAAATATAAATATATATATATATATGTATATGTATATATATATATGTATATATATGTATATGTATATGTGGGTGTGTCA